GATAAAAACAGCCATACATGTTTGCCAACTGCTAACTATACTAACTACTGGACTGGCAGGGAGAACTCACTCCCTTCAAACATCTTCTGAGCATATAGGAACACTAATCACGTGCAGTAAACTTACAGAAGCCAAACACTTGTACCTTTCTAGGGAGCCTGCTTTAAGAGGGGGGTTGGACTAGATGACCTCCAGAGGTCCCTTCCAACCTCTACAAATCTTTGATGCTATGATTCTCCGCAAGTTGTGACTGAACTGTGTAATGAATCCAACTCCCAGCCAACAATATCAGATGAAAGAGAGAGCTCTTCATAAATGTTAATTTTTATGCCTAAAATTTAGGATGCTAATGCAAGTAGGAAAGCTTTCTGCCATGCAACAATCTATCGTGCAACAGCAATAATTTATTGATGGTTGATGCTTGTGTATGAATTGACTTGTGGTAGAGAAAGGAGTCCAACTCTACAGTTATTGTTGGAATATCCACACATAGATCATAGACTTTGGAATGAAAAGAAAAAAAAAAAGAGAGAAAAAGTTAAAGATAAGTTTGAACCACTGCAAATAATACCAAAACATTAAAAAACACAGATTTCTAGACTGCTCATCTCACACAGAAAGAATGAATGTAAATTGTTGTTATATTATTGTACAAATTACCAGTAGAACAGCCATGAGATGCAAATATGGATCCTATGATGATCAGTACTGGCTGTGTCACATCATTTTAAAAAGTTAAAGGATGGCTGTGTCAATGGATGTCAGAGAATTCAGAAATCTGAAGTGAATAACATGGAATTCAGCTATTAAAGGACTGGATAATGAACAAGATTTAGTGAAAGATACATACCAAGTTCCTCAAATGTGAAAATGACATGTTTTTGAGAAGGTGCTACCCTTTCATCATAGACAAAAAAGCTGCATTTCCTAACGATAGATTGTAAAAATTTACATGACTAATGAGATGTACAACTTCTTTTTTCTTTTGTCTGTAGAGTAAATAGACCATTTTTCACCTGCCTACTACCAGGAAACATGTCAAGGCACAACAGAAAAAGTGAAAAAAGAAAAAAGGGGGGGAGGGATCAGAAGATTGAAGTTATTTATCAATTTAAATAAATAAATAATATATGAACAGTCCAGAGGTCATAGATTCGTTTCTATTATATCAAATGCTTCAGGACTGAGAGATTATGGAGATACGTGACTGAATTTGGACTAATGTAAGGAAAGGCTTCTTTTTGCTTATGTCTCATCCGGCACAGTTCTTCAAATGACAGTTGACTAGTTGGTTCTAATTTTTGAAAAAAGAAGCTAAGAACATTTCATTGTGATAACTTTTTAATATCGTTTCAGAATGCTCCTGCTTTGAGTAATCTTTTCTCAAATTATTTACAATTGCTGCAGATAAGTAGAGTGCTATATCTCTGTATTTGTAGTGAGATTTAGAGCAACTGTACTGAGGAGCCTTTTTGGTTGACTGCTGTATAGTAGGCAGTGACATCAAATTCAGAATTCAGTGGACTTTCTAGAATCTAATGAGTATTCTTTTGGGAGATCAATAATAATTTTAAAACTATCATCAAATTCCTGATAATATCTCTACTGTTTTAATTTCAGTAACCAAGGCAGTGGGTACATGCTATTTTCTGTGGTGTCAGTCATCTTTTGTTCATTCTGTCCATTTGTTTTTGCACTATCAATTAAGAACCAAAGTGTTTTCATTCCTTTTCTTACATTATTCTAGAAATGAAAAACAGAAATGCCCTTCCACTGCCTTTTCTGTGTCTTTCTGTTGTCTTTGATCAAAAGGCCTGGTTGGCTCTCCTGTGGATTTTAAAATTGGTGGTAAGACAGTTCTTGACTAATCTAAGTTTCCTCTGAGAAAGATTTCAATGGTGTGGCCCTAAAATCTGCATTTGTCATCACTATAAGCCAAGGACAACCCTCTTCAAAGCAATGCATATTGATAGCAGACGATGGCCTGTGCAACTTGTCTGAGAAGAAGGGAGATTCACAGTCCTTGATCTATCCTATAAAATGGTTTTCATTCAGACACAAAAAGATAGTAATAGTAAATGACACTGTAAGTACAAACTCATAAGCATGAATTGGCAAGAGATGTCAATTGGTTTCAGAAACACACAAAGGATGGATGTTAGTAATATACTTAGTTGACAATGTTTCACCAAATGCATTACACTGCAAGAACTGAGAATAGATTATTCACATCATCACACATTCCTTCAGTACTGGATTCCTAGTCAAGATTAAATTGTATTGGGTATAGGAACCTCAGGTATACCTGCGAGTTGAGTATTAACAATTAATGCCCTGATACTTTTTTTTTTTAATTTTCAACTACCTCATTTTTCATGGCCTGAGTTCATAGTATGTCATTATATAAGATAAAACACAACTATGCAAATATAAGCCAAAGCTATGCCTTGTGGGTATGTATTTTGTAGTGATCATCTAAAACAGTGCTGTAGGTTGCTGATTATGTCTTCTAAATACATTTAATCACATGTACCAATTTCCTCTGTTTATATTCAAGCAAACTACTCAGACCTGACTTGAACATAGTGATCCCATAAAATATGAAGATGATCAGTATGTGTGCACTGTCAGTTTTATGGCAATAGCCAAGCAATGCATATGTAATATATGCATCTCTGTTTAGACTCACTGCATGCCTAAATAAATATGGGGCTTGGCATTTCAACTCAAATATATCAGCTGTACAAAAGAGCTTTTTCGGGCTATATGTAATATGATATAATTGTTAACACTGACAAATAAAGAATGTTTTAAACCACCATTTTACACTACTGACCAATCTCCTTTTTTCCCTTTTTGAGGCTGTGCAATTATAGTAAGGGAACCAAAGATTTTTCACACCTTATACATGAGTTAGTACTTACTGCATGCTGACCATAAGCACTGTCAGCTTCCACAAAACTTATAATTTTATTTACAGCCATATAAATCATAAAAACATACGGAGACTGAGTTTAAACCTATCCCAGCATGTGAGAATGGAAATATAGTTTAGAAACATCATTTTCTGATTTAACACACTAGTCTCTGCAAGTGGTGAACCTGTCTCAACATGCACTGATTGGCACAGTTACAGTATGCCATTACTGCTGCATAAGTAATATAATACTTCTCTAAAAACTCTTCAAACTCTGCTGTCATATTGTTAAGGTCTGAGCAGTTACTGCAGGAAGCTATTTTATACCAGCCTTCTGTTGTTAATCCCACTTCCCCGAAACCCAGTTCCCAGAATGATGGATGGGTAAATGGATGATCCAGAACATGTGCATGGCACAAAGTAAAAGTGATTATTTAATGTGTCAGTGCCAGATGGCAAAATGAAGAGAATGCTCAGTATATATTTTACTGCAAAAGCAAAAAAATTTTTTCTTCTGGGGCATGGAAGACTATGAATTAAGATATGCTGAGAGCTTGCCAAGAAGATTAAGTGTGTAGTTGTAAAAAGGATGTGATGCAATTTCATAGGGTAGAGATGGCTGTTAGCTAAATGGAAAACTTTGCTTTATGTAGTGGCTATTATAACTATCAGCTGTGGACAATGTGATTTTACAGAAGCAGAGGAAACCATGCTGTGTGACTGGAAAGCTTTGTACCATAATGAATGGCTGCACAAGTAGTGGTTAGTGCTTATGTAGTTTTATGTAACAGCAAGCAGCACCGTGCTGCATGCACATCCAAGTGCAGAAAATTCTCTTTAGTATTCTAGTTTGAATCAACATTTCTTCATTTATATCTTATCTGTCTTTAAAATTTATTTCAACTACACTGTAAGCAAACCAAGGTACTACTTAAAGCTCTATCCACAGAGCCACCATACTCTCACATCCTCCAGAATGTCATATCTCAACAACATAACAGGCAGCTGCAACTACAAACTGAATATAATTTGTAGATGATATGCTAAAGCTTATGAATACTGAGTAACAAAACCTGCTATATGTTCAATGCTATCTATGTACTTTGTAATTTTGAGAACAAATGCTTGCTGTGGTCACATATTGATGATCCTACCAAAAATGAACTCATGATTGTCATTGTGCTTTCCTAGTTATATACATATGTCAAGTATTATATCATACATAAGCTATGCTGTCTAACACTAGAGTCTACCTTAGATGTCAGATAGAGTTACCATACCGAGGGATGGTCTGCTATCAGACACTTTCAGCATTCATGGCACTGATGACAATATCGTTCTCTACCAGTTTCTAACATCTCTGATGACAAGTCACAAGAGTGGATTAGATAGATTGGACTCACACATTATTTTTTTCATGAGATCATTGGCAGACAATTCAATGATTAAATATATAAACCAGAAACATTAATTTTATGATTATATGTTATATGGTTCATTTACACCTGCTTGTGTAACGCACATATGTTTAAACACTTATCTTATTTGAACCACACTATCTGCAGTCTGTGGCCTGTGAGCTAAGGAAGTATGCTTAATGTTACAGTGCTGGTTTATCTGTGCTATAGCATTGTATTCAGTAACAGGTTATCTGCTCCTTGACTCACACACAATATTATTTATTTATAACACAGCTGAACACTGAGCTGGCCAGTGACTTCTGTTCCTTTCAGTGATAATAATGATTTTTCTTGTGGCTCATAAGGCTGCAGTCATTTATTTACACTTCTGGAAATAGAGCTTTCCAAAGACAGTCCTGACAACAACAAATGGTGACAAGGAGCTACTGTTCTGTAATGGCTGCATCAAATATCCTACTACTATAGCACATGGCTTCCTCCACCTCTGCAATTGGTAATAAAACCCTGGCCTCATTCTGAGAAGGTATGTGAGCCAGGACAGAGCAAGCCCCTGCAATCATATTGTTATTCATCTCCTTGTGCTACCTCCAGTTTAGGCTGCTAATGGTATGATAGCTTGCATTTCTACTTTCTTGAAAATGCAGTGACTGGAACATTCACCATTCAATTTGCTCTGTGTCTTTATTAAGTGTTGCACTAGCAATGGCTCAAATGCAAAACAAACAAACAAACAAAAATAGGAAATTTAGTGCTTCCACTGCTATGCACCCTACACACTTTTCTAACCAATGAGCTAGAATTCAATTATATACAATTTGGTGCCAAAAACTAAATTTAACTGACAATGGGGTTGTGAAATAAAGCAGAAAAAAAGCTGAAAATTAAAAATTAAGTCTTATATACTATTTTTAATCAACAGCGCTTATAAGCAAAGGAGTCTTGAGCTGTGAAGTACACTGCCAAAGGAAAGCATAAGTCAACCCCTTATGTTTGTGTATATTACTTTCTGTAACTTTCATTCATAAAGTCAGCCTTTACCTATCTTTTCAATTGTTCCCTCCCTTTGCCCCAATTTGAAAACAGAAAAAGAACAAAAGTTCATACAAAGATTTAAAATTTGTATTACATTTATTCAGGAGACTTGAAATGGCTCCTCTGGAGCCATTTTGAGTCTCTCTCCATCTCAGCCTATCCAGCAAATACACACTCAGTTTTTAAAATGTATTTCCTGATAAAAATTACTTTGTGTGTACAGTCAATAACCTTTTCATAGTTTTATACATTAAAAGGCCAGAGGAAATGCTGCTATCATCTGCTCTGGCCTCCTTCATCACACAGACCATAGTACTCTGAAGATACACAACCCTGTATAGCCATCTCGATTGACTGTAATGGATTAACACAATGCATATTCACTTTTGAATTGTTCCACAGTACAGATGGTTACAGTAATAATACGGAAAATTTTATTAAAAAGTTTATGAAAAAGGTAATGGCACATGAGCAGGAACCCAGGTTGCAGAACTCAAGGTATTTTCACTTTGTTAGTGCACATAATTATAGGCCCTGGTAGAAAAACAACTGTTTAAAAAATAACATTGTCTTAGAACTTTTACTTGAGTTCAAAACTAAATCAGGTAACATCACTAATTTACTCTGAACTTTTATAACATAAAGTCAGCCAGTAAATATTTTGGAAATTACACTGAACATAATTGCTCCTACATGTTTTACTTACAGCAAACCTTTATGACTAAAAATAGGAGTATACAAGAGTATTGCTGACACAATTTTGCTCTGTATGACATGAATATACCAATATAGCAATATACCAATTACTTTTCCCTTTCTCTGTATATAATATTTATTCATTTTAGAGCAAAACAAACCAATCAATTTATATATTCATGTATCTATGATGTACCATATACCAAGCACTAGATTTATCACACTTACCTTCCTGCATAATTAAAATTAAGTTCTCCAAATGCAAACATTTTTGGTTACCTTATCAAAAAACAACAGTCAACATGCTCAGCACTTCATTACTCTCAGGGAAATAGTTACACAAAAAGTTAAAGTTGACATGAAAGATATTTCCAAGCTTAAGTGAAAGTTTCAAGTGAATAAAAAAACAGTTGCGATGCTGTTCTACTTAAAGATAATGTAAAATCAAGTTCTCCCATTGTAAAGGAAAACAAAATGAGGAGTAAGTAGTAGTGTTTGTATTTTTCCACCAACTATCCAAGAGACTAAATTGGAACAGGTAAGGAATCAATTTGTTCTGTCTGTAACAGAAAATAAGTATAGTAGTTTGCTGACAATAAAAGATGGGTTAATATATGCATGTACGTGTGTGTGTGCACGCATTTATAAATACACAAATGCATGCACACATACGCAGTCATATAAAATGAACAAACGGGCACAGAATCCCAAATTCACCAAATGAGCTGATGTGCAGTAAATATCCTATGTTATTTAACTGTGAATTAATATATATTTTCACCAACAACTGAATTGGATTTACTAAATAATGCTATGGGTTGATATTGGTGCAATTCTATCCTACAGTATGCAGTTTCACTACAAAACATCTCCAAAATGCCATCTGCATTGCATATTTGCTGTAAAACTATATCTTTTTTTCTAATCTTCATTTTTGTTAGCCGTTACATATGTATATCTGTTTATGCTCTAAGAAATAACAATTTGCAATGCCTCATAGCATGCCACATGTTCATAAAATAAGTTCTCAAATCAATATAAAATCATGTAATTGAACAAAAAGGCATACTATTTTTCATGCTATGCTCAATATAAATATAAATTCAAGGCAGTCAAGCTATCCATTACCAAAATAATAATAACCATAATATATATGTATATATACCTACACTCTCTAAAAAATGATCCAGTTATGTGAATTAAGAAACCAGTAAGAAATTGGCTGAATGTAGTACAAAAGTCTCATTTTATGTAAAAGCCAATACTGGCCATTTCAAGTATTTTAATACTTTCCTATAACCTTTTCATTAATAGCTAGCTATTTGTAGAAATGATAATTTTATATGGAAAATTGTATTCAAGTTAAATAAAAAAATCACTTATACTGTATTTCATTTTTAGAGTGTGCACGTATACATAGCAAAATACCCTTCTACAGATCTATTATAAATATTTTAGTTTCTGTCTTTTCTTTCCTAAGAAAACATTTCAGCATTTCTTCTCTAATTTTGGATAATGTACATCAAGCCTTTTAAGAAATTAAACCATCTTAGTTCATTAACACCAGATTCCATTCCGTTTGTGCCAGTTTGCAAGTTAAAGGTCAAAGAGCAAAGACACAGGACAGTACACTTTAAGGAAATTCAGACAGTGAAGCTGTTCACAGAAGACAATGTTTAACTTGGTAATGACAGTCAACAGGTCAATAATCAAGTTCAAGGCAAGCTGTTCATTGTTGCAAAAGCTACTCCCCTCAAATTCTGGCTTTCATAAAAAACCAGATGTCTGACTTTTAGGGTGCATCATTCTGACCATCTTTAATAAGTTCACAGCCCAGTGACTGTAAAGCCTATCACTGCAAGAAGCAGCTCCTAAAAATCAATAAAGAGGTCTGTCAGTTGCTGACTTTTCTCTAGGAAAAAAATATTGATACAAACCTGCTCTGCAGGTCACATGAAAATGACAATACTGCTGTTAGCACAAATTACACAAAATGACAAAATGCTTTGGTGGTCCCTTGGCTCTATTAATGATATCGTGTTTGGCTAAAGGCCAGAGATTTGACTAACCCTTTGAGAACTATAGAGAACATGCAGGGGAACACCAGAAGGTACTCATGCAATATCAGAGTCATCATTTTAGTTTTCCTGTGAAACTGTAACTCTATCTCTGCAGAGGTAAACTGAATTATCATGCAACATAGTTTAAAAGAGAAATTCAAGATGCTTAAGATAAAAGGCTAGGCTATAAAACTGTAAGCAGTTCAGAAAAATCCTTGGTAAGTGGTAGAAGATATTAAAACAGGTTTGGTTCCTTTAACCATAAAGTAGCTGGTAAATATAGCTTTCTCTTTACGTTACAGATGCTTTTCTATCAGTAATGCAAGTAATAAAAAACACTTGCAGTCACAGGAAATCTGTTAAAGGAAAAAAAAAAAAACCAAAATAAAACAAACCTAACCACTGTTTTTTCCTTTTAAAACTTCTATTTTCCAAACACAATCCTGTAATTTAATGACAATCAAGATTAACATCCAACAGACTCTGAAAACTGATGCAATAGTTCTCAAAGGGTTACACCAAAGTAATACCAGTGTCAAGTTTCTCTATAGCATCACTGTTACTTTAGTTCACTGAAATCCACTTCAGAGACACACTGCTTTTTCACCATGCATTGGAATGAGTACTCCTGACAGACCTGTGAAAGGCCTGGGGCAGTTGACTTGGTACAGCTTGGGAAAGATTATGTGGGAAAACCAACCCAAAAATCAAACAAACCAATAAAAAGATTCCACTTGAATATAGTGATGAATATAAATGAGTTTAAAACATTGAGGACGTAGCCCAGAGCAGCTGTATAAAACACAAAATGAATGTATTATTAAGGCTGTTACTATATTGCAGATATTTTGGCCCCTTGTTTGTTGGAAAATGGCTGTCCGAACAGTCTGAAGTCCTGCATGTTATCCGGGTCTCCCACCTGACAAAACTGGAAGTAGGAGTATAGGACTTTATCCATTGCAGACAGAAAGCAATCCTCTTTGGAGACAAAGCTGTTTTGGGTCTTCTCACTTTCCTGAAAGTTCCACTGTGAGTTGTTGTGGTTTTTTTTTCTAAAAAAATTGACTTTCAGCAGAAAATTTTTCAAAGGGGAACAGGCCTTAAGGGAAAAATGTAGAAACACTGGAGATTTTGTTTTTTCCTCTTCCTTACTTAATCCTGATAGTTTATCTGGCATTTAGTGTGCAGAGGAAAGGCCTAAATTGAATGACAAAGAAAGACAAAGGACTGAAGAAACAGCAGATACTGTGTATCATGGAAGCTTCCCAGCTGAGCGAATCACCACTCATGCGCGGGACAGGCAACCTCCTGGGTTTTAAGGATCAGCTTTGTTTCAGACTGACAGATGCCCGCTCCTAGCTAGGAAACTGCAGAACAGCTCTTGTGTTGAATCTCAAGTTACCACAAACTCCTGGGAGGGAAAGAAAAAAAAAAAAACAAAACCCTACATCACACCCACTCTTGCATAGAGCGTTTGCAGTACAGTATGTGACGGGGTGTTCCTTTCCTTTTAAACTGGAACACAGTGTAAACCAAGACAAGGAGGCACAAGGCCAGGATGCAGGGAATGACAATAGCTATGGCTTTCACAGTGCTGGCTGTGTTGTCCAATTTGATAACAATGTCAACATCATCTTGAGGGCTGTGTCGGTCTTTGTCTCTATCTGTTGGTCCATCACAACCCATAAAATCCTTGAGGATGGATCTGGGATAGCCAGGTTCCACTCTGAGCATCTGGTTGTTGAATTTCCAGTACTCTTTTCCTTTGTAGAAATATGTGAAGCCTGAGGAAGAAATTTGAAATTATTCATGGTCAAATCATGTATTCTATACTCAGTGACTGAAACTGTCATTATCAAATCATTTTATCACTAAAATATAAAATACATGAGAAACATAACTAACTCACAGGCCTTTCAAATCTTTCCAAGTTTCATTTGTTTTCCACTTCTAGAAAATCTGTCATTCTACATCTTTTTATTGAATAAATGGGCATTTTATTTTCCCCCATTTCCACAAACAATAACACAATTCCAGAGAATACAATCTTTGACAGATTAGGGTCCAACTAGTTTGTTTATTCATTGAAAACCCAGCTGGACCTGAAATAATCATGGCCAGGTCTATTCACTTTCAAGCATCCCAAACAGTTCTGGATGAAAAATATACTGAAATAAGTTTCTAGCCAGAATTAAGAACTGTCTCTCTTCAATTCCACTTAACTTACAGCTGTACTTCAGAAGAAGAAAAGCATCTTTGCCAAGAGAAAATGGTGTACACAGATTTAAAATATTCATTCAGGTGTAAACCAATGTTATTACCAAACATGCTTAAATGATGATGATGATGATGATAATAATAATAATAATAATAATAAGCATGAAAATCTGACTCCCTGCCAAAAATCTCTATTACTTCATTATTTGGCATTGATATGTCAAGAAACAAACCTTCAGGACTCATGAATTTCCTCCTACTGTTTATAGATGAAATGCAAATTGATGCATAAGTTATATCTAGATAAATTAGAGAGCTGAGTAATCACCAACCACATGAAGTTTAACAAGAGTGAGTGCCAGATTCTTCACTTGAAACCCTGGCATACAAACTGGGGGTGAGATGCTGAAGAAGAATAGCTCCACTGAAAGGGCTCTGGGGGTCTTGGTTGACAGCAAGTTGAACATGAGTCAACAGTGTGCCCAGGAAGCCAGGATGGCAAACCATATCCTGAGGTGCATCAAGCATGGTATTGCTAGCTGATCGAGCTGATTGCCCCACTCTATGCTGCACTGGCGTGGCCTCACCTTCAGTACTGTCTGCAATTTTGGGCACCTCGTTACAGAAAACATAAAACTATTACAGAAAAGGAGGGCTATAAAGATGGTTAGAGTAGAAGAAGGTGTTTGAAGAGCAGCTGAAGTTGCTTGGTTTGTTCAGCTCAGAGAAGAGGAGGCTGAGGGGAGAGCTCATTGTTGCCTACAGCTTCCTCATAAAGGGAAGCAGAGGGGCAGCCACTGATCTCTCCCTAGTGACCAGTGACAGAGGGAGGTTTGGGCTGGATTTCAGGAAAAAGTTCTTCACCAAAAAGGTGGTCAGGCACTTGAACAGTCTTCCCAGCGTGGTGGTCATGGTACCAAGCTTGCTGGAGCTGAATCAGCATCTGATCACCGCTCTCAGACATATGGTCTGATTTGCGGGCCATCCCGTGCACAGTCAGGAGTTGGACTCAATTATCATTATGGGTCCCTTCCAACTCAGGATATTCTATGATTCCATGACTCCATAATTTTCATTCACAAAGAGAGACACGTACTCGAGCTCAATACAGAAAACTTATTACGAGGAATCCAATCAAAATGAGGAAAAAGATATAAATACATATATTCATACATACAAATACATATTTCCTTTTAAATAGAGAGCTTTAGAAATATGCTTAAAAAGTAATTGAGGGAAGAGAGCAGGGGTTATATCCATTATGTGTGTGTGTGCATACATGTTTATGCTCATTTCTATCTCTATATATGTTTACTAAAAGTTATTGAGTGTAATATACATAAGGCTGATCTACTATCCAGTAAAATCAGAATAAGAAAAATAAAATTGTAATCTAGCTAAAATACAGGAATCTGAAGATGAGTTCTACTTCTGGATAAAACAGGGACAAAATAAGGAAGCAATTAGACACTTCTGGAAAAAAAGAAAATTCCATAGCACATTATTCAATCAAGTTAGAGATTGAAATAGTAGACGGAAGCAAGGAAATATTTTTTATCAACTTTTAACTTTTCAACTTTTTATCAACTTATTAAAATGAAATTAAAATAGTATAAAAATACCTATGTGTGCTGTCAGTCAAGCAGAAGAAACTCAAAACTAATAAATAAATCATAAATGCCATATAACTTTTTGTTAACGATATTTGATGACAAATGCTTATTTTCATTTCTGAAAAAGGGATCTGCATTCTGTGCAACTGAGGGCTCTCTTGGCAGCCGGCCATCAGCCTCTAGGTAGCAAAGAATTCTCAAGATGGAAGAGATGCAAGACAGTGCAAGAGATGGAAGACATTCTGGCTTCTCTCATTCATTTGGAAGCACGGACAACTGAGATTCTAGATTCCTGTATGTGATGATGCATCTTGATCTAGGTAATAATATTTAATAGTAACATCCCACATTTCTGTATCATGGGCTGTTCAGATAAAGATCTTTCTTCCCTGTTCTGATTGTTTAGAATGAAGATAGTAGCTTCTGACCTACTACAGCCAACACCTTGGCTGTGTTCTGTGGTTAGAAAACTCATTCTAAGAGATAATTTAATTCCCTGTAGAACAAATAATTAAGTGAATTAGGACAGACAAAAACAAACAAACAAGAATGGAAATTAATGTTTACTACACTGAATTGGAAAGATTTTTCCAATCACTGTGTTAAATGGTACATGTAAACATAGCTTTTTTCACAAGAGCGAGTTCTATAGAAGGATATATTTCCTCTGTTCGCAATTCAAAAATACCTCCAATGCTTAATATAAATAATCAATAACTCCTTTACTACAGTATCTTACATAAACGTTGTTAGCAAATTATTAAAACAAAAATGTGTTTGCATACCATTTTCTTTGTGGACAAAGGCTCCCTGAGGCGATTCTGGGATACCTTTCCAAATTGTGATTGGTTTGGGATAGCCAGGGTCCATAGATCTCATTTCTTCACTGTACCTCCAGTACCTGTAATTTTATTTATTTATTTATTTGTTTGTTTGTTTATTTTAAGAAGGGGGGAAAAAGGCATTTATAACATAGCAGATAATTAACACAGTTTACTCAATGCATAATTTTTTACTTCTAACACACACTATATCCAGTAGTCACAAATGGGAATATTTGAGTTCTTTTCTTTGAAAATGCTACCAGATAACAGAGAAAGTAAAATCATTTGTCAACAAGATAACTCATATTAGCTGAAGAAAAAGACTTTTGCACTTTGACATCTGCATTAATGTGTGTTTCACTTAATAGTCACAGCAATTCTGATGTCTAGCACTTCTGCACAGTGAAACAGTGAGATGCAACATATATGAAAAAGGTCCAGAATATTTGAACTAACATTTTAGTCACAAAACTGCCAGCATGATAAACTTGACTCCCTATGAAAATGCATTCATATTTTGTTATCATATAATCATTAAATAGATATAAGTTAATGAGTTTTTCTGCATCTTTGTCTGCCAGCCTTTCCCCAGTTTAAAAAGTCTCAATATGCAGATTCTGGGTATTCTGAACTTCGGAGAAGTATTTACAGTCGCTATTTTGCTTACAGATAATGTTGACACTTTCTTTGTCCTTATGCAGCTGGCTGAATTGCTGTGCACATCTACTGGCTTGGTTCTAAGAAATATCATACTCCCACGCATCTCTGTGTATTTTGATATATTTTGATTGGCTTCACTAACCTAGAGCATCCCAAATTTTATTGAAGATTTATATTTCCAAATTCAGCTTTATTCAAGTGAAAAATCATTTAGAAAGGCAGCTACACTCTGTTTCAGGTCATCCAAAAAAACAGAGAATGTAATTCCAGCATTGACAATTTGATCATTGCTAAAATCTTTAACCTTTTCCTAATTTCAGTCATCTCACTTCAGCTTTTAGAAATAATTCTAGCAAAATGGACGAAACTTCTCTGTGTCTTTCCCTGTAAGGCATTTCTTCAGGTTTAAACTTCCAGTGAAATTAAAGTCTCATACAAATGGCAAGTTATACAAAGAACTATTTGCACTTAATTTTTTCTTTCTAATGCGTACATTATTTTGCAGCCTGATCTCTTAATATAGTTGCATGTGCACCAATAACCAGTCAACAAAGCAACGCTCTGCAATTTGAATGAAACATCTTTCAGAATGTATGTAGAGAAAGTATCTTGCTAAGCAGCAAACAAAACAGAAAGAGAGGGAAAATAAATGAAAATGAACTGTGTGGCTTTGGAAAAAAATTAAAATTTAGAAAATATTTGCTAAAACATGTTTTTTTTCTGTATTTACTTTCCCCTGTTTACCTTCCAATACTCTGAACTACAAGATGACTAAGCTTTACAAGTGAAAAAATATTCAGTTAATAGTGCAAAAAAAAAAAAAAAGGCATAAACAAAGCCATGTGTCAAGAAGTGCAGCAAGGCTGCTATCATCTTGTTCTACACTACTCAATTTTAAAGACAGGAATAAGAGAGGGTAAAATGTTTTCTCTGTAGTTTTTTGTCCCCTTTTTTTCTTTCATAAAATTATTTGGAACAATTACGTAAAGTGTTTAAGTGGATCATTTCAAATCATAATAATGATCAATACATAAGTTAACTTAGCCGTATGTGTATAATGATATCATTTACTATTTGAACTTCTATATCTTCTTTATTTTTATATTCTATAGAAAATATTTGATGCCTGATATTTCATTGGTCTAACTGTTTCTTTCGCTAACCTTTGTTTAGGTTCTTCTCTGGAGCTCTTTGAGTAAAGTTCACTGTCAAAACAAATGTACATATCCCTCAGTTACATAAGAAACATGGTTATTTTGATTATGGCATAATGTTTTGGTTCCCTTTCATTCCTACCTCTTGCCACTACTCAGCAATATTTATGCTATACTTTTTTTCAGGATCAGACCAGCCCAATTGTAGATGTATATACTATTAAAACCAGCAAAATTGATCTCCTTATTAAGAAAAATTTGCAATCTAAATTATACACATTTAGAAGCTTAGTGGAACATGAGTTTTTTTCCCACTGGTCATCAATACCCTGTAACAGATCAACTGTCTTTGCAAATTTCATGTTCTTCAACCTTCTTAGATATTGTAATGCATTTTTATCCTGTTGAGTATTATTGTGCTTGTTAGCTCTAAGCAGAGATTTTCTTCATCAACAGATGTTTTTTTCTAAAAGTTCATTTAGTCTTCTGTTATTACCAGCAGTATTTTAAGAAAGTGTTTGTGTATGAAAGTACAAAAGGATGTTGATGAATGAAAGAAATAGAGGTCACATAAGATTCCGATTGCATATACTTTACCAAGAGCATGGAGGTGGAAAACTGTTATCTGAAAATGAACTTGCATTAAAAATATTACAAATATTCTCAACAAGAGGAAGAACATTATACAGCTGTCTTCCTTCACTTTGAAAATGCCTGTTTCAAATGATACCTATTTTTCAAACGCCACAAAATTTTACTTTGTTATCTACTTTCTTTACCATGAGTGTCGGAGAACTTTTTTTAAAATTTTGTTTTTGTTTTTAAATAGCTTAACAACACAATTGGTCGTGGCACTCTGTACTGCAATGTCATAAACTGCAGTGTGCTAAACTTATCATGTGATGTAAGTTAAATTAATTTCTTGAGAGATTCAATAATACTATCAATGTCTCAGAATCCTAAGCACTACACAACAATAACAGCAACAACTGCACTATTAAAAATAGTAATATAAATATTAAAGAAACTAATAAAGTTATTATGCAAGTTATTTATGAGTATTCTGAACACATTAACCAGTATTGTAGCACCCTAAATACGGGTAAAATCCATCATTCAAATAACATTTAGAACTTCAAAAACTAGTGAGTTCTCTTGACATTTCTATAAAGCAGAAAAAAATTCTTTCCCTCATTTTTACAGACAGGGAAATGAAGGCAGAGACCAAGTGACTGTTGAAAGTCTGTAACAGGACTCAGATTTTACCAAGATTTTATCTTGTACTTTGAATGCAAGAGTATTTTGGAGTATTACTTGGAGTATTTAGGTTTAACTTTGCCATAAATCTGACTTGCCTGTTGACTTCTAAATTATAGTTTTCTGCTAGAAACAGACAACACATTCCAACATGCTAACATTAATATAGGCTATAAGAAATTTGAAAATAGTATGGTCCTCAGTGCAAGAGAAGCTACGGTGACTTTTTTTGAGAAATAGTGCAAAAGATTAATGCTTAGTTGACATCCACCAAACTGCTTCCTTGAAGAATTCCTATACCAACCTATCTCCTTTGAAGAAGTAGGTTTTCCCAACGTCTTCCCACCAAATTGCAGAATCAATACCATGGGAAGGAATTCCGCTTCCAAGTGTTATCAAATCATGAGGATACCCTGGCTGGAGAGTAGTGTCCTTGAAAACCCAGAACTTGTTACCTGTAGAAAAAAATACATATACACATATGTATATGGGTGTTAGTTCTCAGAACTCACAGTACTGAAATGTACACATTCTAAAGAAAGACTTGCATAGGGCTATAGAGATTCTGCTAAATACACTGAAATGAAAAATGTTATATCGCTGCAGATAATCCAAAATAAAATACATCTTACAGATACTCTGCATGTACAGAACATCCATTATCCAATAGGCCCACATAGTATTTGTTTTAATACCACCTATATGGGAATCAAACTCAAAGTGCTCTGTGAAAAGTGATGTAGTATATTTACAGTAATACTATGAGATAGATTTATGCTTCATGAGGAAAGTTACTTTTAAGACAAAATGAGATAAGAAAGCATACAAATAAATAAGAAATAGAAATTCTTATTTTTATACAGACCATATTCTATTATTACTCCATATTCTCTTTCTCTTAAAAAAAGTTAAATTACTTATGCATAATATACAGGCTATTTCTGAAATAACTGTAGATGTAACAGTATTTTTTCATATCATGTATTCACATTAATAACCTTAGTATGGCCTAAACACTGCAGGCTGAGGTTCTGATGTAAAAATCACGTGCTTCTGAAATGAATGAAGGGTTGCCTTTAGTACAGCAATGCTCAGCAGCTTACTAGTTCAATATATTGTTTATATATGGGCATGCATGTCTATAAAAGCAAAACTGGCACCAATATTTTCCAGTATAGGCTCCAGTGTACCTGTATTTGGAGAGTTTTTTTTCCTATGCACTCTTCTGACTAGATAGCTTGACTCACCAGTCCACAACTCCAGTTTGTTCTAGCTTCCTAGACAAGCTCATCTTTCTCATCGTACACTTCCATGACTCACACCACTCACTTCACAGTCTCATATTATAAGCCTTTAACCTAATGATATTTAATAATTTTGTCGTCTTCCAGATCCTTTCCTAGAGTCTTTTTGACATACTGTGCCTCATGATCTATTTTTGCGACCACCTTTTCACTTCTACATTTTTGCTTCCTTGCAATTCTTTTTCAAAATCCACTTCTCACCTGTGTGTTTTAATAAAGACTTTTCTTTCAAACATAGATGTTCGGGGCTGAAAAAAGGTAATATCCTCACATTCAGGCTGGATGGGGCTTTGAGCAGCAGGATCTAGAGGAAGGTGTCCCTGCCCATGGTAAGGGAGTTGGAGCTATGTGATCTCTTCAAACCTACATGATCCTTTCAAAGCCAAACTATTCCATGATTCTCTCATTCTATGACAAAATATATTTTCCTCAGATACATTTAGAAAGAGCTCCTAAGAGATAAAATCAGTGTAGTTCAATGTAGTCATACTTACCTATTAGGCTAGGTAAGCTGTTACACAAACTTAATATGTTAAGGCACTGTGCTGCATAAATATTTTAGAAGAAAATGTAATGTCAACCCAAGGATCTAGGATCAGATATATGTCAGTCACCAGGAGGAAAAATCCAAAAAGCTATTTTGCAGTTGGTTTTATATTTTAGCTGTCCCTCAGTAGTATTAAATATGAGTTCAAAGGGATTTTTTTTTTTTTTTTTTTAATCTTCCTGTTTGTATTGTAGTGATTTAAAGTACACTTTCATTTTATCACAGTTTTAATTAGGAGAGGGGATATAGTTTAAGGCTCTCCCATGCTGGGTTTCCAGAGTCAATTCTTTATCAGCTTGTTTACAGCTGCTTGTCACCCACTTCCAAGTGCAGACACTACAGTTTGCTCAACAGATTCATCTTCTCCCCCTTGCCAGCTGAGGGAAGAAAGGGTTCAAAGAATAAAAATGTGCAGAGCCATTTGAAGTACTGAAAATGAAAGTGACACAGAGATCTAAGAACAGACATGGAAAGCTAAGACCCATTTTTACCTGGAATTAAAGCCTGTGCTAACATGACATTTATCTTAACTGAGATTCCCTGCAAAATTCACTTAAAGGTGATGATGATGATGGTGATCTTCAGTATTTCACTATCCCCACTCCCATGAGGTTTAACCTTCTCCCAGTTCAGATAACTGGACACAGAAGGCTTCAGATGCTAATGGCAGTTGCAAACGCGACAATAAGAGAAGTCACGTGTTTTGGATCTTACTACTTGGTACTTACAGCATGAACAACAGATGGCATCCAGTGAATGATACTGAGCCAGCTCATTTCTGTTTCAGAAGATCATTCAAAATGACAGCTGTTGCACAGCACTGGGAGGCATATGCTGTGATGTATGTAATGCCATTACCTTTCCCCGTGTTTCATAAGTAAAGCCAATTGTTAGGAACTGATCAGTATCAGCCATACCCAACAAGTCAAACTCAGCTGTTAACAAGATCAGATCATAGCAAAATAAACATCAGTTGAGTACACACCATTATAAGAGACAGCACTACTGAGTAAGGTATTTGTTACATATTCAGATATAACAAATTAGGATAAAGCAAATAAAGAAAGTACAGATGTGAGAACACAAGACTTAAATGAGAAATTAAATCCTTCACAATTTCTTATTAGAAGCAAATGCTTTTTGGATAAATAGAAAAAAAGATATAAATTTAAGTATATAAAATACTGTATAAAAATTGAGACAGTGGGGCATTGAGAGCTTTAACATTAGTGGGCAAGGCTTCTATTGATTCAAACTATAGGAAATTGTATTTAACATTTACATAGGAAGATATGTTTAGTCTGCTACAGCTGTGTTGATTGTTAATGGGAAGGTCTGTGTATAAGAAATTGAAATGTTCCATCTGGCTGCCAGTTTTTACTTTCTTTTTGTTTGTGTGGAGGTTTTTGGGGTTTTTTTGGTCTGTTTCTCTTCTTAGCTTCGTCCTTCTGCTGGTGGAAAGGTGGCTCTTGATTAGATAAAAATTACAGAAAAGTCTCAGTAAGAATAAGAAGCATTCAAACTCTAAGCTACATATTATAATGAGCTGAAAAAACCTGCAAATGATGCTTGACTATACTGAATATTAGCTTCTTTTATTTCTAAATTATATTTACGTATTTTAAAATGTACTAAAAATAAATATTTAAATTAGCATGCTTTCATTTAGGTCGCATGTCACTTCCACAATTGAATAGTCAATGCACTTCATTAACTGTGATTATAATGGAAATAAAGAATATACGACAAAACTAAAATAATCATAGTTTTACCCATCTTATAGATAGCTAATGCCTGGTTAGTGTCCTACACTACATCCTAGGCAGAAATTAGCACTGTATTTATTCAACAAAGTTGTGGGGGTTTTTTTAGGTCTGGTTGGTAGGTTTGTTATTTCTCACAGAGCTTAATAAAGCACCACATGTTTCATGAATTCTTGCCAATCTTTAGAATGTTTTATCTCTCTGCAGTTATTCCCTAATGTAAGATCTAATTTAACAACAAGCAGAATGGTAAGGTCACAAGCTGAGAATGAAGAATGGGATAAAAAAGACAAAATGTCTTACTTTTTTCAATAATGCTTTGGTAAATATCATAACTATAGGGGAACAATTGAGAAAGATGAACTGTGATTGCAGTTATTTGAAGTTTCTCAGCATCTATCTTTGACATTCTCGAAAAATAATAAAAATAAAGGCTATCTGCATTGCAATGCATCTCTTAAAATATCAAATATTTAACTCCAGGTAGTCTCCAGACCATTTAACTACCTACTGCCAACTACAAATAATTGTGCAGATTTTAGAAACTGTATTCATTCATGTTTAGAATCCAAATGCTAAATACTTGTGCTCCAAGGTTATCAGCATCAAGTCTCTTGTTCTTGGTATATGCAATTATGATATATGTGCATGCAAGGATACAGTGCACAATTACTACAGGTGCTATGATGAGCCAAATTCTCAAAGCTTTTATGGCTTCTATTTGTCTGAAGCCAGGTAGAATCTGAATATCTAAATCTGGAAAGTTTTTATCCAGTCACTCTTGCTTTTAACTTTGGTCTTTCAGGATCAACATCTTCTTACTAATGTCCTCAACTACTACTCTTGTTTCCTTTTTTCTTGTTCTTTTTTTCCAAATTCTTGTCTGTTACTGCTCTGCTCCATGATCTGACAATATAGTAATTCAACATAAAATTGCCAAGCAGTGAGATAAGTGCAGTTGAAAGTTATGATGGTGGCATTTGTACAGTGAGTTTTACAGCAGCATTTCTATTGCTCCATTTGGTTTACCATAACATTCAACAGTGCAGATGCCTTGACAATTTCATTCTAAGCACCACATAAATTTCCACAGGTACACCAAATAAATTTTACTATTCACATTTCCTCTATTAAAAAAGAAAAAAAAAAAAAAAAAAGTGTCATTCTGGTGCCATCTTCTCATTAGCTTTCAGCATGAACACTAGCAATGAATAGTAACAAGAATGTAAACAGCTGTCTTTTATAAGCAGCCGTCCACCAGATTGCTGTGTACTTTATGAGCATTATGAGTCATAAGGAGGCAGGCCAAGTATCTTAAGCCACCCAAAATGAGCAAGTATCACTTTATAGCTTTGCACTACAAGCATCCTACTGAAATTTTACAATCTTTTTCTTTGTACAAACAAATATTAATGGAAAAAAAAAAAAAAAAAAAAAAAAAAAAAAAGATATGGAATTAGTTTAAATGGTAATGTGTGAAAAAATATTCAAAACCAGGAAGATTTCAAATCCAAAGAAGACATTTGATCCAATAGTCTTGAACTTCATGTAACTATATTTTCTATAGACATCTAACACATAATGTGTGGTCTCAGAGGCTCCTCAAATATTCTCAGAAGAGTAATGCTAACAAGGTTTAAGCATACTGATAGATTTTTATTAGGACAAATAAGGAAGAACTGCATCTCTCATAGCAAAAAATAAATTATAAAGTTTTTTTCAAAGGATCATAAATAAATATTCCATCTTGAGCTGCCTTCGCAATATGAGCATATGGCTCATATTTTACAACATAGCTCCCATTTAAAAAAGTTGTTCCAAATATTTTTATACCTGCATTGTATTCTATTTCTAGTACTATAAAACAGAAGTCTATTAATACTTCTGTTACAAAAAAAATACAAAAAAGTAGGAAAAATCTAGTACTACTATTAATTAAAAAAAATAATGAAGATTTAAACCTGTTTTATCATTTAAATCAACTATTTCAAACTTGATGATTTCTGTCATAAAAGGCAAGTATCTAAACAAATCAAATTAGAATAGAATAGCTGAGTTGAGTTGAGTTGAGTTGAGTTGAGTTGAGTTGAGTTGAGTTGAGTTGAGTTGGAAGTGGCCATCAAAGATTATCTAGTCCACTTGCCTGACTACTTCAGGGCTAACAAAAGATGAAGAATATTAGTAAGGATATTGTCTTCTTCTCTGGCTTGACTTTGGAAGTTTGAGCCTTCAGCTTAGTCAGAAGCATGATGTAGCAATCAGAGCTGATGGTTTCTCCAGGCTCCAGGACTTCCAGAAGGATCACTCTTTTCCTATCCCAAAAGAGAGTGCACACCACTTTATCTGCTGAAAGCTGTGTATACTTTGATGGGGAATTCACAGATTGCCACACCACGGACTACCATTTTGACTCTGGCTTATAAAGGTGACACCACAACTTGTCATCACTGATTACGTGATACAGACAACTGTCCCCTTCAGCCTGATATTGGTTCAATAGGTACTGAAAAACTTGCAAATGGTCTTTTTGTTCCTCTGTGAGTATTTGCAGGACCCACCTGGTGTAAACTTTGAGATATTCCAGGTTTCCACCACTGTTTCCAACTCACTGAAGCAGATATTCAGCTCCATATACAGTTCACTAGTTATAATCTGTCAGTTTGCATGGATGAACTGATTGAAAAGCTCTTCATTTCATGGTATTGCAGCTCTGCATGGCCATCTGAAACATGGCTTGTCTTTCACATCACTGTTACTACTACTGTACCACCAATCACCTCACTGTGCTACATCCTCTGTTTGGTCTCCATAAGTGTTCAGCAAGTCCATGAATGTCAATGAGTGCCATTTTTTCCCAATGGAAGAATTCAATTCCAGAACTTTGCTTCATATGCACTTCCATCCCAGATGCATTTTTTCAGACTGCCCCTCTTCTGCCATCTGCTACATGGCAACAAAATGTAACGAAACATTGGTGGGAAGGTTTGACCTCTACTGCAATATGACCAACATCTAACTCCAATTTTGTTGGCCAACATAATAAAATAGGAGGCATTACTTTCAGAGCAACCCTTGTACATAGACTTCTGCTGGCATGTTTCACAAATCAGCTGAGATCTTTCTTTAACAGGAATTGTCAAGGATACACATATAAAAGATTCAGTTGAACCTATCAATCCTGTGGCATTAGGAAAATATGAATTCCACTGATAAACAAATACTATCAGATAGATATTGAAAATCACAAAGAGTTTGTGACAGAGAAGCAAAAAACCAGAAAAAAATTCCTACAAGGAAATGTAAGCACTTTTGACTTTTGCGAACAAAGAGACAGTACAAACATCACTGGAAAAAACAAAGGAAGGAACTCTGAACAAAAGCAAGTTAAAATCCAGGTATATGATATCAATGCACAAAATTGGCTGATCTGAACACAGGGAGCATAAGCTGAGGATAAGCAAGAGAAAAAAGAACATAATTTTATGACTTGTACGAACACATTACTGTTGTTTTCTGCTTGCTTAAGTTAATCTTGATTATTTAATTTCCCATGTTAAAAAAAATTCCTCTTAGCCTCTCCTGTTGTCTTGTAAACTTACGATATTACATATAATACAATCAATCTATTCCTCTAAGGCCTAACATGAGTCAGCCAGCACTGGGATGAAGATTTAAATAATGACAGAACAAATTTTGATCTCTGGGCAGGAAATGAAAGGAAAGCAGGTCTGACACTGAGCTGGATAATTTCTGTCTGAAGTTCAGGCAGTGGATCCCAGAATTATTGAGGAAGAGTTCCAGCATGCACAGGATGGTTCCTTTGCTCTATGTAACATGATAAGCCAAGAAATACCTACAGAATAATTCCTCTATCCTTACATGACCTACAGACACAAAAATCAAGCAGTGGCATAGGAATTTTGAGGTACTTTTGTAATGTTTCCTGAACTTACTAACTTCTTAGATTTTATGACATTATTTTATGGTAACACAAATATAAGCATATATTGTTTCAATGTAATGTAAATAGAAATGTACTGCATGAATGCAATTTATCTTACAATTCACAACAAAAAGCCTACAAGTTCCTACAATCATAGAATGGCTTTTGTTGAAAGGGACCTTAAGGATCATCAAGTTTCAAATCCCTTGCCACAGGTAGGGTAACCAACTGCTAGATCAAGTACTAGATCAGATTGCCCAGGGCCCAATCCAACCCGGCCTCGAACACTTCCAGTTCCCCAGTAACAGAACATATGATTAATCTTCATTGCACTGTTATGTGCTATTTCTTCACATTATTAAGTATTTTTCATTTAGTATTCCAAAGGTGATAACCTTTTCATAGTAAATGAAATATTTCTTATATTTCCTGTTAATTATTCTGCTCGTAAAAAACGATTCATTTCTGACATAACAATTTAGAAACAAACATGTTTTCTACCTTTTTGTAGTGGATTAAGTGAATCAGACACAATACAAATTGCAGTTTCTTATTTCTTCTCTTAAAGTATTATCTTATCAAACATATTTCATATGGTTTTCACTCTTCTATTGCTAAATAAAATTCATTCAACGTGCAGAACAATTTCTCACAAAATCAGAATTAGAATAATTTTAATGATCCACTGATGCCTAGATTGAAACTTTTATAAAAATACTGAAGATACATCTATGGAAAAGATTTTAGCAATTCATTTCCCACCTGAAACTCTTAGCATCATAATACTCATGTTAAATAAATACAGCACAGTAGACAGTAAGATATATGTAGATGATGTAACATTTAAAAATGCAAAGATCATTTGTAATAAGAAAGAAGAACAAAGAGAAGTACATGAAAATACATTGAATGTGTGCATCCTTGCATCTAATCCACATTTTCCAAAGGAAGATTGCATAGGATACAAATCCATATGATTCATAGGATCCAAAATGGTCCAAAAAAGGATCACTGCACTTCAATGTGTTGAATTTGTACGTCCAAATTTCTATGGCATATATCAGAGTAAAAAATCTGATACTTTGAAGGGTAATCATAAATTAAAGCTGAGTTGTCAGAATAAAAAAACATAACTCATGTACTCTTCAGTTAGCTATGAATTTACAACATAATTTACAAACCATTAGTAAAAATAGGTAAATATATTCCAAAAAAATCGTCATAAGTATTACACAAATTCTGACTTTTCTTACCTTTAAAGAAGACAAAATTCCCCTCGCTGTTTTCATAAACTGCATCAATGCTGGGAGGCAGCCCTCTCCAGAAGTAGGTAATCTGCATGGGGTACCCATCCATCACCCTGTTGTTTCTGACTCGCCAAAACCACTGATCCTGAAAACCAAATACACAACTCTTACTATGCTTTGAGACACTGATACATAAGTTGATATCCTGGAAATAATGAACAGCCTATCCTACCATGTTTAGTGCAGATTCTTTTGGTATTCACATAATTGTATTTGTGCATTCATGCTACTTCCTCTCATTCCAAACGTGTCAAAACTGCTTGTTCCCTGAGGTTAGAATAAGCTGTCCACTTGAACTGTGTGTGTGGAGCAAACAATCTTCAGCAGAATGCACAGTGTACTGTATAATATAATGTAATCTTCTCAAAATCATTCCAGTAAGAGGCTCAACATTAGAAGACTACAAGTGCTTTGAACTGAGGTGTACGTATATGTGTGATCAATTAATTCTGCAAGCCATTTCTCTGCAGTGGCTGCTAACAGTGCAATGTCCATAAATATAGCTATAACGTTAGTACCATAGCCCCAGCTTTACTGAAGATTTGCAGTCTTTGTATGGCAAAAGTTTAATATTATAGCCAATTATAAGTGTTAAATCCAGTATGTCAACAAATCATAGAATCATAGAATGGTTTGGGTTGGAAGGGACCTTTAAGATCATCTATTTCCAATCCCCCTGATATAGGCAGAGACACCTGCCTTTAGACCCGGTTGCTCAAATTCCCATCCCTTTTATTGACACTTAAAATGGTTTCTCCCTGTGGGATAGATGTGCTATTGATAGATGCATTAAGTGCTATTGCATTAAGTGAGAATTATATGGAAGGCGCCTTGTTGACTGATAAGGAATGTTCAACTGAGAAATTAATATGTAATCCATTTGGTGGGAATCGCTAAAAACATCTTTGCTATAAGAGCTGAAGTGGTACAACAAAAAGTTCCTGTTGACAATAGATGATCTAGCCACGTATTTCACTTTTTACAGTAATAATATTATATAAAAAAGAACAAAGCCCCTTACACGATAAAGAGCTATCCTGGCAGATATCTATTACCAGTGTTTTACACCTTCTGTACGGATCAGCTTGCTAAGCAAAAGAGATCTGTGCTCTTGTGGAAAGTGGCACAGCTTAGAGCAGGCGCGTCCAACCTGCAAACTATGGGCCGCATGTGGCCCTGAACATCTAGTTACATAACCTCAGAAGATTGTAGTTTGTAGATTACCATGTGATTTTAAGAGATATTTTTCTTGATTTGACTGTGTGTGGCTCCAGCATGGACTGTGTAGGAGATAACAGAACATTATGGAGGGAAATGTGCAGTGCAGGGCTAACTCTGCCTCTTGTACCCACCACTTACATCAATCAAACCACATGGGAGCAATATAATGTTTGCTAACCCAAGCATGCTAGTTTTAAGGATTATGCACATTATACCTACATTTATTCACTTTTTTTCAGAATTTGATGAATTACGTATTGAGTGACTAATTTTTTCACATGAAATTAACACAAGTTAAACATTTTTCAATGAAATGCAAAACACAGATAAAAGTAAAGAACAAGATTAAAAGGAATATACTTAAAAATGTTAGAATTAATATATATTTCAAGTTTAGAAATAATTTCAAAACATTCTCATGTGAACCTGTCTTTATAGTCATGAAAAGGGTAGCAAAAACAAAATTGCCAACAAATAACCAAACTCCTTTCTTTCTGGTATCAGTTACTACTATGGCTCACTAGGCTTGCACCTTCTGTCTAGAGGCATCAGCAAATTGACAAACAAGGAAACAAAAGCAGAAAATATGCAACGACAACTCTCTGATACACTTTCCCAGTCACCTATCACTTGAGAAGAACCCTAAACCAAAGGTGATAATTTAGGAATTAATGGCACTTTACTTTTATGGATTCCTTTCTAAACACATGCAGACTCACGACATACACAGGCATCTGCAGAAATGTGTATGACAACATAATAGCTGCCAGTGTGAAAAGTTGTAAGCATTTAGCAAAAGTTGCAGCTGCTCACTGGTGTTTAGCCTTCATTTACCTTCTTTCATTTTCTGTATCACCAACAACAGCAGTCCTTTGCAAGATCTAATCCAGAATCTTTGTCCTTCTATTTGTTTTCAGGAGGTTTTTCTATAATTTGATATATCTGGCAAATATTAAGAAGAAAGAATCTATTGCTTGAAATATGATCTTCATATGCCACTACTCTTAATGTCTAAATACTCCGTTCTGAAACGCAATTTGAACAGAATAAACCAAGTTCTGCCTTCAGATGTGCATTACTATAAATTCCTTGACTTCAAGAAATTCAATGGAGCAGCACCAGCATTACCAAATAATCTGTCTCACTGACCTTCCTAAATTCTTTTAGTATTTTTCCTGTCCTTGAAATGTACTAACACAGCTTTCCAAGAACTGACTGATGAAAGATTTTCACAGAAATAAAATTTTGGAAGGGTATAATTTTAGTATTTTTATATTCTTACATAAATAGATAGAAACAATCACATTATTTGCCAAGAGATGTATTTTCAGAGATAGGCAGACCAACAAGACAGAGTAAGTATCTAGCAATGTCTGAAAACTGGAAGTTTGGACCATTTAAAAGTATTTGAAAGGTAGATGCTGGTGAACACTGACAGGACAATTTGTTTATGTAAATTGAATTTTCCTGGCTGAATTTTATATGAACTTAACAGACCTAACAATTTTAGATTGCCAGAGTTCAAACTCTGGAACTCAGTTTGAGAAACTGTGGCAGTGAAACACGCCAAGGATCTTTCAGAGGTATCAAGTAGGAAGGCTCTGTTTATAGAAAGAATGAATCATTTCAGCACATATGACAAAATTTACTAAATTTCTCCTTAACAAACTTTTATTTACTAGCATTTTAATCATCTGCATTTTGATAAACAGATACAAGTACTTGAAAACGTATTTACAATGAAATTTGGCTATTACTGAAATTGGAAAGAGGCACAGTCATAAAGAAAGCTTATTCACTCCAAGAATTCACTTATTCACACTCAAAGTAAATAGTCTGAAACAGTTTCTCTGACAAAATGCAACTCAGCATACTTGCTTATACTAAATAAACACAATCTTGTCTCTTTTGAGAAATACTGTGCATTGAAAAGCTGTTTCTTTCCACTACTGGTTTAATATACTTCTAATTACTCTATTTCCCCAAAACACTCCTGCAGACAGATTGAACTTATGACTTGTCACATGCATTGCAATCCTAAACCTAAAAACCACACAGCTTTTAGCGCCTTTCCTTGCTGGCTAGCAAATGTTTTTTTGTAAGAATCTGCAGCCATTAACCAAATACCTGGATCATCCCAGTGCAGCTGGGATACTGTATAATAATAGATCATTAAATATTATAACCACTTGGACAATTATTTCCAGTTCAAAAAACAGGAACTGTAACAAACTAACTAAAAATCAAAACTGAATTCAAAAGAGAAGAATATATTTAAGAATCAGAAAATGGGCATTGAGTAAGGACAGACTGTGAGCTACTTCAGAAATACTACTATGGACAAAGAGTAATAGTAGGATGAAGGAGCAGGAACAGTCACTCAGATTGACTGTTATAAAATTTTTAAGAGGAAACAAACTGTAGTGAGGTTGTACATAAACCATTCTGTGCTGTCAGTAAACACTGTAGGTAATTTCTCCCACACAGGTATAGCTTAGTGATTAGATGAAGGGATTAAAATGTAGTAGTTTGTGCATGGTAATAGCAAAAATCTTCTTCACAAAAGCATTTCCTTGTGGAGAATCTTGAATGGAGAGCTGTGTTATAGCAAAAAATTCTGGCTCATAATGAGAATACGCTACACAATAAACAAACTTGCTTTTCAGTGATGCTTGAGGTAAATTCATATTTGTTGAGTTCATCATATTTGATTCCATGAACTCTTTTAGAAAAATTTCTTAATCAAAAACATCGTATCTTTTATTTTATTTATTTCTATTTCACATTGTTAAACATAATTGCCATTTCATTTTTCTAAATGAACTTTTTAATCTGTATTTCTATCATAATAGTTTCCATGCCATTCCCTGATATTTATTCTCATTGTAAACTTCTTCCATATTCCTTCAGGACTGAAACTGATGGTAGATGAATTAAAACCATCTGATGATATCTCAATTAATTTATTAAAAAAAAAAAAATCAAGCTAGTAGAGTTTTTAGTGTGAAATTAATGGCAATTTTTTTTTTTTTTTTTCTATCAGCATGACATTTTCTCCTTCATCTCTGGACCAACAAGCATTACCAATGGTAAAACATTAATATGTTGCAAAATCTCTAAAGCTCTGATCTTTATTCTATGCTTAATGAACTCCACCTACAATTTTGCAATGACATGCAGCATGTCAACCTTGACTCTGAGCTCTAAACAGCACTCACTAAAAACAGAAAAACTGCCCAATGTGATATACATTCTAAAAATTTGGAGTTAGAAAAAGGAAAAAAAAAAAATTGGAAACCTTTTTTGTGATCGCTTTCACACTTGGCAACAAAAATTATTTTGCCTTTAAGAAATTAGGTCTTGTGCTGGTTTTAAAGAGAATATGAAAACGTGCTGTGAGTACAGAAGGAAAGAAAAGTTGTGCTGTTAAAGTATATATGTAGTACTGTTAAGGGTATTCCACCATCAAAACATGGAATGAGATGCAAAACTGAAAAACAGCGTATCTACAGCTGCTGGAGAAAGGAGTTTTCCTATGGCTGTTCCTCAGACATCACTGCTAGGCCAATTTAATTTTCTACAGAAAGGCAAATAAATGTAATACTTCTGCCCTAAATCAATGTTAATCAAATGCTGAATTCCAATTAACACTGTAGGTTAATAGTATTGACAAAATACATGATGGTTTCAGCCTGGGTCATGCCTTTTCCCCATAAGCCACCTTTCATCACATGCAAAAGAAGCCTTTGTCAATAGAAGATCAAAAATTCCCAGAAGCTATGCAAAGCTGGAGAGGCAAACTGAAAAAATCAGACAAATGTGCATCGTAAGCTTTTCCCATCTGAGCACTGCAAAAAGAGCACA